TTCGGTTGGTGTTGTGGTGGGTTTTTCGGTAACTTTACTGGTTGTCGTTGGGTTTTCTGTGATTATGGATGTCGTGGTCTGTTTTTCTGTTATCGTTGTTGGTGCTTTTGTGATGGTGATGGTAGTGGTGGTAGGTTTCTCCGAGAATGTAACACCAATAGTGCTGGGATTTTCTGTTGCTGTTGTGGTAGGATTTTCAGTGAATGTAGTGGTTGTGGTTGGTTTTTCGGTAACTTGTGTGGTTGTGGTCGGTTCTTCTGTAATTTTGGTGGTTGTGGTGGGTTTTCTGTGGGTATCGTGGTAGGATTTTCAGTGACTGTAGTGGTAGTGGTGGGTTTTTCAGAGACTATATTCGTTACAGAAAAGCCTACCACTAAAGCTATCACCATCACAGGGAAATCCACCACAACGAATATAGTCTCTGAAAAACCCACCACAACAACCCTGGAAGTTAGAACACATACAGTTGCTAAAACAACGCTATTAACAGAACCTGTGAATAAGAACACAACTACAACCCCCACAGAAAATCCCAGCACTACTGCTGTTACATTCTCTGAGAAACCTACCACTACCACCACCATCACAAAACCACCAACCACGATAACAGAAAAACAGACCACGACATCCATAATCACAGTAAAACCCTCGACAACCACTAAAGTTACAGAAAAACCCACCACAATACACACAGAAAATCCCAGCACTAAAGCTACCATAACCACGGAAAAACCCACCACTACCACTACAGTCACTGAAAATCCTACCACGATACCCACAGAAAAACCCACCGCAACCACCAAAATTACAGAAGAACCGACCACAACCACACAAGTTACCGAAAAACCAACCACAACCACTACAGTCACTGAAAATCCTACCACAACAGCTACAGAAAGTCCCAGCACTAATGGTGTTACATTCTCGGAGAAACCTACCACTACTACTACCACCATCACAAAACCACCAACAACGATAACAGAAAAACAGACCACGACATCCATAATCACAGAAAACCCAACGACAACCAGTAAAGTTACCGAAAAACCCACCACAACACCAACCGAAAAGCCCAGCACTAAAGCTATCACCGTCAAAGGAAAATCCACCACACCAGCCACAGAAAGTCCCAGCACTATTGGTGTTACATTCTCTGAGAAACCTACCACTACCTCCACCATCACAAAACCACCAACCACGATAACAGAAAAACAGACCACGGCATCCATAATCACAGAAAACCCTACCGCAACCACTGTAGTCACTGAAAAACCCACCATAACCACTAAAGTTACAGAAAATAATACAATACCCACAGAAAAGCTAAGCACTACTGGAGTCACATTCTCAGAGAAACCGACCCCCACACCCACCGTCCAAAAGACACCCACTACAGTAACAGAAAAACCAACCACAACAACCACAGTCACAGAAAAAACAACCAAAACTACAGAGAAGGAACTAACTACTACTGAAACAACAACTAAAGAACCCACCACCCCTGCAAAAACCACAGAAAAGCCTACTTCAACAATAACTAAAACCCCAACACCTTCAACCCTTCAGTCTTCAACACCAGGCAGAACAACAGTATGTTTTTGCAAGTACATGGATCATTTATTTTCTCCTGGTAAGTAATTGGCTATTGCCATTCAAGTATTTCATATTATTATTACCTTTTTTGTTGTGGTTACACTTAACTCCTTACATTTGAACTTGGTATTGCAAGAGGTTGTATCCTCTTTGCTTTGATATTTCATATCTTAATCCACAGTCTGTGTTGGACTGCATCCTTTTGGATATTGCACAAAACTTGAAATGGTAAAATAGATGTGCGTACAGTTTACACATTCCAAACAACAGGCTTTTTTTTATGTGAAAGACGCTTTTTAACTTTGTTCATGAGAAGTGAATACAATTGGTTGTTCATGGTGCCTGCACACACAATCACCACAACTCTATTAATCTCTAACTCTATTTATCCAGGAACTATTTATGAAATTGTTGATTCAGTTTGCATCTGGTCACAGATCATGAAATGGACTTTGCAATTATCGATAAGAAACTTTAATTTGCTTGGTCTAGACTTAACAAAAGTTGCATTATAAAGACAACTGTAACCCTGTCAATGTTTATCTAACTGCCCTGGTTTCAATGTTATATAGGTAGCTTCATGTACAACAAGACTGATGAAGAAGGCTGGTGTTTCACTGCATACTGTGACTTGACATGCAATGTTCAGAAACTTGCTAGACCATGTCCCTCCACTACTCCACCAACTCCTACCACCACTTTAACAAGCACTGGGACTACAAAAGAAGACTGTTTGTATCTTCATCCACCTAGAAAGGTATTTTAATTTAGTTATATGTACAGATAGATATTTAACATATCTTCTTAAAATAAAAAATGTAAGTATGTACTAATCCCAACATTTTTCCAGGGTCTCTTTTCTGAAAAACAATCATGGACACCTACAAATTAATTTAATACAACAGTAATTGAAGAGTTTCAATCCATTACTGGGGTTGATAATGACATCTGTGGGCTTTCTGTTAAATTTTATTATTTTGATATTTGTAAACATCTTTCCTTGTTGTATGGATGACACAGTTTAAAGGGGGTATAGGTTGTGCTTTGTGCACCGCTATACTGGCCGTAGTTTACTAAGAGCACTACCTTGTTCATTACAGGATGGTGACGTTTGGAGTGGCAAATGCACCAGATCCACATGTGACGACGGAAAAATTACAACAGAACATGCGAAATGTGAACATGTGACCAAGCCTAAATGTGAAAATGGTCAACCACCAGTGGAGGTTTATGATGAAAGAGGCTGCTGTTTCCACTATGAGTGCAGATGTAGGTTCAAATTAAAGCCTTATAACATGTTCCATCAAACAGCATCTTAAAACTGCAACACAAACAAATATATATTTATATATATATATATATGTTGAGTTTTATATAACAAATAATGTTATTTCAATCTACTTTTTGCAGGTATTTGCTCTGGCTGGGGAGATCCTCATTATATAACGTTTGATGGCCAATATTACAGCTTCCAGAAAAACTGCACATATGTCCTTGTCAAAGAGATCATTCCTCAACACAATTTAACAATTCTTATCAGCAATGTAAATTGTGATCCCTCTGGATCTGTGACCTGTCCTAAAGCTTTGATTGTGTATTACAAAGACTATGAAGTTATTCTCACACAGGAGAGAGACCCAAAGACTGTGAACATGGTAAAGTTTGCCAGAACTGCCTAAACATATTTTACTTTTGAATTGTTTTAAATTATCTCCAATGATTATGATAATGAAAAAATATTTCACTAACAATTTTTTCAATTGTTTAGGTGTACATCAATGGCAAGCGGGTATTGCCAACCTACTCTAATGAAGACTTTATCATAACAACTACATCAATTGAGCTACTTATGAAAATCCCGGAAATTGAAGCAGTTGTGATGTATAAAGGACTTTTATTCAGTGTTGACCTGCCATTTTCCATTTTCCACAACAACACCGAGGGACAGTGTGGTAAGATTGTAAATTGTAAATTGTTGATAAACATAGTAAACAGCAAACCAAACTGCATGTTACATTCATAGATGAAGATATGATTACAGTGTTAGATATATTGTAAACAATACCATTGTACTATCTGTCATGTTAATCATTTACTTTCACAAGGTACCTGTGACAATAACAAGAAAAACGACTGCAGATTACCAAATGGCAAAATTAATCCTGGATGCTCTCAGATGGGAGAGTGGAAAGTACCAGATAAGAAAAAGCCCTATTGTGACAATCCACCCCCAGGAACAAACACAACAATAACATGCAACAAAACTGATAATCCTATTTGTGAAATTCTGAATAGCAAGTAAGAGTTTACACCAAAGAAAATAACAACAGATAAGTACAATTGATTCTTTAATATCACTCTGAATAATCAACTTTCTTGTGATTTCTGCATTAAGGGTGTTTGAGAAATGCCACAAAATAATCTCATCAGAACCATTTCATGAGGGTTGTAATTATGATGCTTGCATAACAAACAGCACAGTAGTTGCTTGTTCCAGTTTGGAGTCGTATGCTGCGATGTGTGCTAGAGAATCTGTATACATATCATGGAGGGAAGCTACAAATGGACAGTGTGGTAGGGTTTAATTTGACTAACATTGTTATATTTAGACGTCCAAATGACACATTTCATCATTTAAAAATCATAATTTATTTTCTGTGGTTTTAGAATTCAAGTGTCCAGGGAATAAGGTCTACCAGCCTTATGGGCCAACCTTTGAACCTACTTGCAATGCAAGGTAATTGCTCAGTTCTTTTATCAACATCATGAATCAAATAATGTCAGCAGCTTGTAATGTAACAATTATTTGGGCTAAACCATATGTTAACATCAGTATGCTTACATGCTCACAATAACAATGCAAACATGCTGATGCAAAGCATTAATGTTTTAGCACACTACCATATGTTCATTTGCATTAAACACAAATTAAAGCTCAGTCTGATGACACTGTAATTTGTTATAAACTTGAATATTTGACGAATTAAATTGATTTGATGATGGCACTATAGATGATAGTACAATCGATCCTGATGCACTCAATGTCACTGCATTTTACGTAATAGTTTTAAGACAATTTATTCAAACCACAAATGGTGGCGTTAGAGGAAAATTCAGGGGATCACCAAAGTCATTAGGATTGTCCCTAAGGGGTACATGAATGTCTATACAAAATCTCCTGGCAATCAATCAAATAGTTGTTGAAATGTTTCAATTTTGCCCAACGTAGCAAAGCGACACTGCTATCTCTACAGTTTGCACTGCGTTACACACATACCTTCTTAATTAATTTCTGAAATGATCATGTTTTGTTTTGTTTTTCACCATCAATTTCTTCTTACTTTAGATACAATAAGAAGTATACACAAAAATGTGAAGGACAAAATGACAAACAGAACCATTCTTGTAATGACATGATGGAGGGATGCTTCTGCCCAGAGGGGATGACTCTGTTCAGTTCGACCTCTGACATCTGTGTCTCCGCTTGTAAGACCACTGTCTGTTGTCAAGAACATTCAATTTCTTTCTGTTTGAATTAATGTTCAGGTAAACTGATTATCTTTATTGTTTAAGGTTGCACTGGACCAGATGGCCAACCTAAACAGGTGAATGCAACAAACTGTGACAGATTATCATTATTAACACAGAGTATGTATGACTTTTACAACACTAACTTCATTTATCAAACAGACTGGTGACAATTGGCTGAGTGGCTGTCAGCAGTGTTCTTGTGATAATGACACTATGAGTGTTCAGTGTAAGCCGCGCACATGTACCATTCAAAATACAACAGTCTGCGAGGAAGGCGAGGAGTTGGTGAACAACATGGTCGGCTGCTGTGCCGAGCAGACCTGTGGTAAATGATTCATAAAAAAACATCTACTGTTGTTTTGTGTATGATCTTTAAATTATTAAGTGGGAACTCCATTTTTCCCACACATATCAGTTATCTCATTATTCATGTCATATGTTTCTCTTCTGTAAAAAAGCTTTCTTTAGCCAGAGAAAATAGACTCACAGTCCGGGTTCAGTAGGTGAAAAACATGTTTATCTTTCATTTTCAGTTACTACTCGTCGTAACTGTGCAATGATCAGGAACACCACATATCTGCAGAAGAAGGACTGCAAGTCGGTGGTACCAGTGGAAATCACCGCCTGTGCCGGATCCTGTGGAGAGTCCTCGTCAATGTGAGATTCAAAACGAAATGACCTGAGAGTTATTCAGTACAACATACTTACTAAATCACTAAATCAATTTTTTAAGAATCAAGATTTTTTTATTTGTCACATAAATACAAGTATGTAATGTGAAATGTTGTACTCATCTCCCAGGTGTGCACGACAAGTACAATAAAATAAAATATGATAATTCAACAAAATACCACTTAAAAATATGTTATGTAGAATATGACAAATAGCAAACTTATACACAATGGTAAAAATGGTTAAATAATAAAAGTGAGGTTAACAGTGCAGAAAAGGTGACACACAGTATATAGAGGGCAGTATTACAAGTTATTGACCTTCATGTGCATTTTTTGTTTACATTGAACAGCAGGTTCCTGACACTGATTCTGTCTGAAACATCTTCATTTTCAGGTATTCTGCAGAAAGCAACCGCTTGATGCATTCATGCACGTGCTGTCAAGAAATGTCCACCAGCAAGAAGAAGGTGGAGATGACCTGCGCTAATGGCCAAAAAGAAATGCACACCTACATTTCAGTTGAAAAGTGTGGTTGCAATATCACTGAATGTAAAGATATGAAAGGCTAATGTAAACATTTTGCGAGACAACTTCGACAACTAAGCTCAGCAAGTTGAAGGGAAAATCTAACTTATATACTTTTATGAACTTTAAACAATTCCTCTCCAAAAACTACAAGACTCAATGCGTAAAGACACACCTCTTTGTACTTTGCAGTCCCAAGTAAGAGCAAATAATAGTAGAAAGACATGTTCTATTTTCACTCTGACAATGCTCGTCATCACTTCGTTATTATTATCGGGCACGCAGGTCCCCAAAGTGCCTCGTGATGACGGCACATATTTGTGTCCTGGTGTCTCTTGTAGCTTTTGAAGAGGTTGTTGCATTATACAAATTGTTCCACTTGGTGTTTCCTTCAGAGGGTGTTTCTCTTTCTTTTACTTTAAATGACCTCAGAGTTAATAGTAGTTGAGTAATTATTTCTAACAGCAACGGCGAAGATCTTATAACCCTTAAATGATCTTATCACCCATTAAACTACTGTATAATGAAAAGAGTGTGAAGAATGTCAACATTCTTTATCCAATATCTGATGTGTCAAACTTCTGCAAACTGAATGCTGTCAGTGTCATTAAAACTCATCATCATAAGGTCTTGGTTTTTGTGTGGTTCTTTCTTTTAGCTATTTTTTGTGTAGATTTTTCTTAAAGTGCTTTATTAGATTAGATTAGATTCAACTTTATTCTCATTGCACAAACCACAAGCACTATTTATAGAACGAAATGCAGTGAGCTTCTAACCATAAATGCAAAAGAAGCAGTAAAGTTAGAGTGATGTCTATAATATAAATATAGACATCGGTCAGATATAGACATACCTAAGTATTTACACTTTGAACACTACAAGGAGGTAGAAACATTACACACAGCAGTACAGAAATGTAATACACTATAGATCAGGTATGAACATAGGCAGTATAATACACTATAGACAGAATTATTATGAATAACATGTGTTTCAATGGTGCATTTTGGTACTGGGAAGAGTCTTTCCATTTCAATAGAAATATGTTGCTTTTAGGTATAGCGGTGAACCATCATTTATAATGTAAGGTATATTATTGTATACGTCATTTAATACATAATAACAATCTTTATTATTTGATATTTAGACATATACAGTTGTTCACCTAAACACACAAATCAAATATGTTTAATGCCTCCACGGCGGCAACTTCAGTGACTTTGCAGATTCAGATTTATTTATAACGTAGTTCAAACATTAAAGTGATGTTAGCTTGAACTCATTTATAAATATAAAAAGCATTACTCTGAAAAGGGATATAGCAGCATAATAAGTCTTTCTACTTTTGGTACTTTAAATATATTTTTGATGAATGCTTTTGTACTTTTACCTATAGGTGAATATTTACTACCCTTTTAAAAGGTCTGAGTATTCTTTTCACCACTGATATTATTAAATATCACTATTTCTAACACCGGGCGGATGTTAAACTCACTCAAAGATCTGAGTAAGACTGTACGTGTCCATCATTGAAAATAATAGAGTATCCTACTTAATTAATATCTATACTTGTGTGTCTATTCGACAAAGTAAATAATCAAAGGAATTTGTAAACTATAGTTAGAAATAAAAAGTATGTATAAAAATAAAAACAATGTATCAATATACAATTAAGAAATGCAAAGTCAATAGGACCTTTTTTTATTTATATTACAACTGAATAGAAATAAATATGTCATGCATATTATATTCACCAAATCATTATGTGACGAATTCAAATAAAATGTGCCATTTAAAAAAGTAAAATATACTCGTAAATAAAATTCATATTCTAATAGTAGAGGATAGAGACATTTTTACATACCACAAAGGTGATAGTTTGGACGTGAATTTAGATATTTTTTGTACAGTTAATTTTATTTTTAGGGAGATTTCATATTCATAAAAAGAGGTTCTAGACTATAAAACTTAATTTTTAACATTTTTTACCAAAAATGTAAACAATATAGTATGAAAAACTAATTATATTAATAATTGTATGTAACTCTATTTTTCTTTTTTCCACCAATTTATTATATGTAATTTTGTATTACGTTATATGTCTACCCCTGATATATAATATGTCTTTTGAATAAATAAAGGGAAACAAACATATAGGTGTTAAGCGGGCTCCGGCTGGAACGGATCCCTTATAGCGTTACCCAGCCGGACTCTTTTCAGTGTAACACACCGCCTGGCAGTCATGTCGACGCTGAAGTCAGGACGCTCACTGTTAGAGTAGTCAAATACTGTTAGAAATAACTAAATGTGTAATTTTTATACCAAGTAATACATTAGTTTGGATTATGTGTTGAGGAAAAGCGAGGTATCCATCGCAGTATCGACTTATTTTGAGGTAAAATAAGTTTATTACTGAATTCCCCCTCAGGCTTTTCTCTTCTTGTTTATTAAGGTTAGCTAACGTAACACCGCTTAGCTAAGATGTGATAAATAATACAATAAAACACAACCATTGCTTGCTTGTGTTGCCGAGCAGAGGATAAAAGCATTACAGGAAGCATGACATTTATTTGGGACATGTCGTGAAATACGCTAAGAAGTTGATGCTTATACAAAGTGGTTCATATATAACGTTATGATCTCTTTACCGTTAATGTTGCTAATGTTTCATTTGTGACTGCAGTTCCCTGTTCATCTTTACATCTCTGAGATTATTTTTGAAATCATGAAGGATATCCTTGTTAATGTATTTATTGTTGTATCTTATTCAGTTTTAGTTTGTTTTATTATGTTATACTTGCCTTGCCATGCTTATTTAACCAATGCCTTTTTTCAGTTTGAGCCATGGCATCCCTATCAGAGGAGGTGCTGCTGGTGCTGAAAAAGGTTCGCCAGAGGAAGCAGGATGGCACACTTTATCTGATGGCTGAGCGTATAGCCTGGGGTCCAGAGGGCAAGGACCGCTTCTCAGTCAGCCACTTATATGCAGACATTCGCTGTGAGTAATTGATACCATCCAATTAGAAAGATGTGCCAACAAAAATGTGTTGGTGATGTTCTAAAGCTGCACTTTATTTGTTTTCTGCACAGGTCAGAAAATCAGCCCGGACGGTAAATCCAAAATTCAGCTGCAGCTGGTGCTTCACACCGGCGACAGTACCGCATTCCACTTTTCCAATGACAGCACTGCACTCAAAGACAGAGACGCTGCCAAGGAGCTGCTGCAGCAGCTGCTGCCCAAGTTCAAGAAGAAAGCCAACAAGGAACTGGAGGAGAAAAACAGGTGAGACCCAGGTGTTCTCACAAGATTCACTTAAAGGATATATCTGGTAATATCTATGTTTTCTTATTGGGATCAAATTGCATTATAAGATGAAAACTAACCATACAACTATCCTTTTAACAAGTGTTGTGTGACCAGAGAGCTCACTTCTATCAAAAAACGATTCAAAACACACCAATGAGCCACACTGTTGCACTGGGTGACATTTTTCCACAAAGTAACTATTTTGGAACCTGTTTCTTCTAAAGATTAACATGGTCCGACTCCGTATGAACAAATGAGATTGGGTCTGAGGGTCCCAAACAGGTTCCGGATGTCCCTCTATGAGTATGGGAGTTCACTGTTGACTTTGGGGACAGCCTGTGTGACCAAATCATCTCCAGTCTACTATTAAGATTTGTATGCAATCTTTCAAATAATATATTACATTCTTTAAATGTTTTTTCCTGTAGGATGCTTCAGGAAGATCCTGTGCTTTTCCAGTTGTATAAAGATCTGGTGGTGAGCCAGGTGATCAGTACAGATGAGTTCTGGGCCAACCGGCTAGGAGACACGAACAACTCGGACTCCTCTTTATCCAACAACAAACAGGAAGTCGGTATATCTGGAGCTTTTTTGGTGAGTACATCAAGTCTGGTCAAAATAAGACCTTGCATTTTGAATCTTACTCAAACATTGTGACCTTCAGTATCATCATCATAATTGTAAAGTATGTTTTGTACATTACAGGCTGACATTAGACCTCAGACTGATGGCTGCAATGGCTTGAGATATAATTTGACTGCTGACATTATTGAATCTATCTTCAGAACATACCCTGCAGGTAAATCATCTCAACTTTAGAGTTAGCTGCTTTCTTTCATCCATGGCTTCTACCAGCTCATATATAAGGGACTGATATTTAAGGTATATTTCACCCCCAAAATGACCATTTGTATATCAATTACTCATCCATGTTAAAATCTCACGCCTGCACAGGTGCGTTACTATATTGTGTGAGGAGTGGACTGTGGGAAAGTGGTTTAGATTGAAGGGTTTTAGCACAAATGCATGTGTTTTGGAAATAGTGAGCATACGACTGGATAAATGAGACTTGAAATATTCTGCATTAGTTCTGAGAGAAATAGTTTTGACCTGCCCCAGTGTGCTTCTATTCATCCAGAAATTTCCTTTTCTTCTTGTGTCATCATTGAGGCATGCCAGAAAATGGGTTCAGGAGCCGATAAACAAATGATCATTTCAGCTGTGAAGCTTTCCTGTAAATGTGCAGCTTGTGTGCCTAGGCACCGCCACTGGACTAAATATTTTAATATGTATTTGCGTTGTACTTGCAGTGAAGCAGAAGTATAATGAAAATGTGCCTCACGAGCTGACGGAGAAGGAGTTCTGGACCCGCTTTTTCCAGTCCCATTATTTTCACAGAGACCGCATCAACACAGGAACACAGGACATCTTCTCAGAGTGTGGCAAGCAGGATGAGATAGGTAGGAGTCTTAAAGTGTTTCCAGGTGCAAATATCACATAAATGCAAGTATTCTCTACAGATGTCAGTACATGTTTTACCTAAACACTTGCAAATGAAACAGCTATGCTACAAATCTGTTCTTATGTCTCACACAGGGTTAAAGTCCATGGTGGTTCAAGGAGTGAAGAATCCTTTAGTGGACCTCCTGTCGTTAGAAGATAAAACATTAGATGAGGTGACGTATTATGATTCGCCAATCACAGCCACATCATACTACTCAGAAATCATTTGCTTTTATAGCTTTCTTTTCCTCCTTCCTCCCTTGACCTGAAGATTTGGTATTTTCTGTGACACAGGGTTACGGAGTTTGCACAACAATGCCCTCAACTTCCAACAGGACGGTGAAGGACAGCAGCAACTCTGCCATTATAAAGCGGTTCAACCATCACAGTGCCATGGTGCTGGCAGCAGGCTCAGGCAAGGGGTGAGGAAACGACTTCTTTTAAACCTTTCTCATTCTTATTAATGATTTGCTAACGGTTTCATCTTTTTAAAGGGAAACAGCGGGTGACCCAGCTAGTGAGACGAGCTGCACAGACGGAAACTCAAGGGACTCTGACTTCTTCCAGCCTCCTGTAAAGAAGGTGATGCCTCTGCAGCTGTAACAGAGGTTTTAATTCTAAATATGAATATTGCTCTGTAACAGCCTGTCACTTTTTCTGTTGGCAAACTTTCTTAGGCTAAATTGCAGGAGGCCATTGAATATGAAGATCTTAAAAAGGAAAAGAAGCCAAAAACAATTCCATTAAACCTCAAAAAGTCTGACAGGTAAAGTCTGCCCACCTTTTATTTTTATTTTGTTATTGATATTGTTTGATTACACAATAACGGGTGGGGGGGAGTCTCAAACTCTTTATTTGACAAATATGTCACTATCAGTACTAATTATTCCATTTATAAAACTTAAGTTTAGAAAAGTATGTTGTTTTTCTGAATATATGTTGTGTTTTCACTAAAGAATTTACTGAAAAATCCAAGTTTTCCAGTTATTCCTTTTCTTAAAACTGGGATGAAAAACAACGATTATTTGTGTTAGGTTTAGGGAAGCCTCTAAACTTTATTTATTAACTTAAATAACAGGGGTTATATTATTGCTTGATTTAATGTTGAATTGTTCTAATATAATGTTTCTCACTCCCTCTCTGTATTCTTAAGGTATGCTCACGGTCCTGTGCCACTTCAGTCCCAACACTATTCGACAAGCCAGGATATCATCAACTCTCTCAACTACATCCGGCATGAGATGGTCAATTATAAACCCAACCTCACTCAGGTGTGTTAACACTATTTCCACTTAGCTCTGTTGTGATTCAACACTCTTCGACCTTTGATCCGTTCAGATCAGAAGTCCAATTACATAACACAGTCTCAGTTTAAAGGTGACCTATCATGCAAAATGCACTTTTGTACGTCTTTTATACGTGAATATGTGTCCCCGGTGTGTCAGGGAACTCACCAAGTGTCAGAAAACACAACCCTCTCTCTTTTCCTCCATAACCAAATCTCTAAAAACGGGCTGCAACGGAGCTGATTTAGTTATTTGAATTTTTCTGACGTCAGAAAAGGGGTGCTCCACCTATATGGGCAACTCTCCACCTATCAGGGGAATGAGAGACC